GATCTATCTATCGATCTATCTATCTATCTATCTATCTATCTATCTATCTATCTATCTATCTATCTATCTATCTATCTATCTATCTATTTACAATCTATTCGTTTCCTACTTTTTAAAAACAAAATGAAATTAGGATCACCCCCCCCCCTCAACCACTCTGCTATCCCCACCCATCTCTCTAAATAGAACTTCCCAACACTGTACAAAACCTATTCCTATCACAAATAATGAATAAACAAAGTATTAAACCCACATACAAATTAAAGCAAATAAAGAGAGAAACTCAACAACCAAACAAAGTAAACAAATTAACCAAAAAAACAAACAACCAACACTCCCCCCCCCCCAGCAAACAAAGAAACAAACAAACAAATGAAAGAATACTGAAAAAAATACACCAGAAACAAAACAAAAACAAACAACAAACAAAACAAACAGACAAACAAACCAATAAACAAACAGCCCAATTTCATTCATGAACAAATGTAAAACTCATACAAAGATTCACGTTGCAGTTGATTGATGTTGACACCTTCTGTGAGTGGAGTTCAAATTTCTTGATAATCTTACTCACATTTCTGAGGGTTGTTTTTTTTATCTTAATTTTGCCTTGAGCAAGATGAAAGCGGCTATGCACAAAAGAGTTTCACTCTTACTACCCCCACCACCCCCCCCCAAAAAAAATAAAAAATTTAAAAACATTGAAAAAGTAAGAAAACAATCAACCAAAAAATATAAAAAAACAACAACAAACAAACAAACAACAACAACAAAAACAAAACTCGCTGATTGCCACCAATTGTCCATGATATCAAAAACAAAATGATATTGAAAAAAAAACAACCTACAAAAATCAATGAAAGGTCATTATTGATATGTATATTTGATTGTTCTATACGTGTATATTATTATAATATTGGTAGGTGATAAAAGACGAGAAAGCCTTTTTAAACGCTGTGTGGTGAAATACACACACAGACACACTCACAGAAGGAGAGAGTGAGTGAGTGAGTGAGTGAGTGAGTGAGTGAGTGAGTGAGTGAGTGAGTGAGTGAGTGAGTGAGTGAGTGAGTGAGTGAGTGAGTAATAGAGAGATAGAGAGAGCGAGAGAGAAAGAGGGAGGAAGGAGAGCAATGAAAAGATAAGATGAGGGAGAAAGAAAAAGAGAGAAACAGAGAGAAAGAGAGAGAGGCAACGAGAGAGCTAAAAAGAAAGGGAGAGAGAGAGCAAGAGGGAGAGAGAGAGAGAGAGAGAGAGAACGAGAGCGAGAGAGAGAGAGATGAGAGAGAGACAGAGAGAAAGACAGAGAGACAGAGAGAGAGAGAGGTGGGGGAAGAACGAAGAAAAGAACAAGAGGGACAGATGGGGCGATATAGATAGATTTACAGAGACGTAGATCGACAGAAAGAAAGACAGACATAGAGACATAGATAC